TATACAGTATCGGGAAATGAAATATCGCGATATTTCAATGTATCAATATTTTCTTACACCCCTATTGATTTGGTCGATTGAAAAAATAATTGACAGATTAATCAATTATTAAAATAATCGTTAGTTGCAGCCCTAAAAGACAAACATTCAAATTTTCTGCAGTTACTGGAAATATTTTGTATACAATGTCCAAATGTCCTAAAGGGGAATACCCTGATAATTTGTTCTGTTTGCCTTTTAATGCATTGATTCAAAATAGATGGCGTGCTTATTATAGGACACTATTTAAATTATTAAGCTCTTGTGCTCAAAGGTAACTTTTCAGGGGATAATTGTTTAAGAATTGGTTAAGCTCCATTCTATTACCTTACTTTAAAATTAGAGATTTTTAAATATTCATAGCAAATCTTCACGTGAGTTAGAGCTCTGTTATAACCCCTGATGAAGGGAGCAGAAAATAAATAAATAAATAAATAAATAAATAAATAAATAAATAAATAAATAAATAAATAAATAAATAAATAAATAATAAAACAAAACCATTATATTACAGATTATACAGTATTAGAACCACCGAGTCATTTACTCACCCTTTCATCAGCTGGGCAGCAGTGAAGTAGGCAGCCATGGCTTGATCATGTTCACTTTCCACTGCAAATGAGTGACCGTACGCAATCCATGCAGGACCGTAGGTTCTCTCCAGAGTGGTGGCTTTGCTACAGTGGCAACAAAAACATTTCAGTAAAAGTCCAGCAAAGTGGAATTAAACAGGATGTACTTCCTTTTGTTTGTTAGCATACCTGAGGTAACGCCGAGCATGTTCGTTTTTGTTACCAACCATAAGATAGTAGCAGCCAACAGCAAACCAGGAAACCTTGGAAAAGGTTCATTTGGTTATGAAACATGCTAAAAACATTACAAGTAAAATCAGTGTCAAAGATTAAAAGCAGGAAAATGCTTACTGGATTGTTGGGGTACAGGTCTACAAGTCTGTGTGAGAGGTAAAATAACTCTGCAGAGGAAAAACAGACCAATTGATCAAATACAAAACTAATGAATTTAAAGGGGCAGTGTCATGTAAAATCAACTTTGAGTTTTAAATCATGTCATAACGTTATCCCCTCATCAGATTCACCCCCAGAGTCTTGTTTTGACTCATTCATGCATGTTTGTGAAATCTTGTAATGTCCCGTGTTAGCTACAAAAACAGCTGGTTGGGACTAGAACCGCCCTTTAGGTGCAGCTCCTCCTCTGGGCTGTCTCCAAGCTGAGCTTCCTCATCACAGAGCACACCTCCCCTGCGACTCCACCTGGCAAATCCATGTGAATGCTGAGCTTGTAATTTTTCTCAGTCCAGTCCTTTCTGGATCAAAAAATGCCTTTGAGGAAATGTATTTTCAGATAGAGACTGCCCTCTTTTTAAGCTTCCCACAGATGACACGGTTCTTAAAAAATGGTTGGACTTCAGTTTTGGAAGTAACCGTCTGACGGAAAAAATATTTATATTTGTGAGTGGCACTTTATGGATAATAGCTTTTTTAACAAAAGTGAATTTAACAGTGGACTAATAAGATTATCACTAAAAGACGATGCAATTCCAACACTCAGAAGGACACAAACACTGTTGTCGTCTGCCCAGATAAGCTGAAAAACAACTCATGTTGTTTTGTTCGGTTGTTTGGTTATTCTGTGATCTATGATTAGCATTTGTTACTTATATTATGATCTGTGCTCTTTACTTGGCTTACACCACATTTTAGTAATAAATAAATTAGCTTAACATTGACGTGTGTGTGTCAGGATGACTGGGAGATGTCTTACCAAGCTGAAACTTTGCTTCTATAATCATTCCGGTTCTTCAGAAAATGTACTTTCCGGATCCGATGTGGGATCATTTAAGTAAGGTTTAACTGTATTCTAAGCTTCTATTTTCCAAAACCGATATTGTATAATGTTGCTGCTTTATTTATTAAAAACACAACGCTCCTCAGACCAGTTGTAAATGGCATGAAATGTTGTGATGATGTGCAGAAGTGGGAGGTTCTTAAAGAGACAGAGGCCAATTTCAGGGCGTTTAGAAGCAAGTCATGCAAAGTAAAATTAAGTTTTGATTTATACATATACATTTTAATAACAACTGGAGGTGACATAGTTCCAGAAATGCAGATAAATGTACTTTACCATTTGCTTTTCCAAGCTCCACCAATGTTCCTATGTGAACTGGCAAACAGTTGGCATGAAATGGGTCTTTTACCATCACCCTGAAAGACAAATAAACATCTGTGTTAGGCATATTAAATCCCATTTCAAAACTGACCCATTAGAATTAGTTTGATTTTACAAACAAGATTAAGTACTAAAATAAAACACAGATTTTAAAAATCACGTCAGCGACTCTATTTATTAATAAAGTATCATTTTACTTCATACAGAAAGTTGAAACAATTAAAAGCAGTGGACTCTTACATTGACGTGAGTTTGTAGCACATCTTGAAGTCACAGTTATAATAATGTCTCTCGGCAAGAGACACGACTACATCCAAGTTGTCCTGAAGACCATTTACCATTTCTGGCACCACCAAATCACTGGGCTTGTCATACTACAGAGGGACAGAAGAAGAGAGGCTGCAGTGAGACATCACTGTCAGCGGCAGGAGAAAAGCTTTGATGTAAGCTGGTACAAAACCATAAAGATGTTGCAACAAATAACTCTAAGAACATATTTCTGTAAAAGTTCATGTTCTGCAACACTGAGTCCCAGAAATGTTGAATATGTTGCTGTTTAAGATGCATGAGCAAGAAAAGTGAATAAAAAATCAAGTCCTCTACCTTTTTTAATTTATTTTCAAAAAGGAAGTGCAACAGCTGCTCCTCTTCCTCAGTGCACTGCTGACTAAAAGGAAGCGAGTCAAGGAAGTCTTTTTCTAAAGCAGAGAACAGATTTTATTTAAATGAATCATGTAGGCAAAAATAAATGCAGAAGACTATACTTGTATCACAACAACAGGAAAAGGACAAACAAACCCGCATCCTCTGAATCTATCAACCTCACCTTCCTGTGCAGTCAACATGTGGTGAGATGTTAAAAGGTCAAATGCTTCAAAGCAGTACACGTCGAGTTTCAAGGCCTCTTTGTAGCTGGAGGTGGCCAGAGGCCTGTTGTCCATGGCATCATAGATTTTCCCCCGCAGGAGGCAGATGGAGCTACTGATCTGAAATTTACCAACAAAAAAAGAATAAAAAACAAAAGTAGGTAAAGGTCTGTATTATTAAGAAATCATGTAAACTTCATATTCAATCATTTTCTGAAGTGGTGATAAGCATAAATAAGAATAAATAACATTTTAAAAGAATGTTTTATGACATCTTTTAAACCAACTTTTGTGCAAAAGTACATGATTTCAGATACCGTCCAATGCTTCCAAAAGCATATTCATAAGATTATAGTCGGGCTGCATGGTATATGTGGTAGACTGTAGAAATGGTATGAAGTTGGCCTACGGTAGAAATTTATACTCTACCGTCCTATCGTCATTACGTCATCGCACCTGTGTCAACAGGGCTGTGAGTGCAGAGACAACTGAGCAGGAGTTCAAAATATAATGAAGAAATTAGTGCTGGGCGGTATACCGTTGTGTACCAAATACCGGTTTTTATTTTTGTTATGACATGAATTTTCTGAATACTGGACATACCAGTTTAAATAGCCTGAACACGTGCGGAAGAGTTCATCACGGCTGCCAGTGAACTGTTTCCCGGAGACACTTTTCCTCGCAGCACCGCTATGTGCTAGGGGTGTAAGAAAATATCGATACACTGAAATATTGCGATATTTCATTTCCCAATACTGTATCAATATTCTAAAGCCCTGTATCGATTTTTTATTAAGTTTTAAAATGTCAACTTTCCTGCCAACCGTTCATTTATATGTTGTACTTCAGCCTCTGACCGCTAGTAGGCAGCAGTGAGCCAGCCATATGGCTCCTCTACCTCTTGAGGTAGAGGCTATTGTTAAGTGTTGGGTGACCATATTGTAAATTAATATTAAACACTAAAAGCTGCAAAAATATATTTTCAAACTATTTATTGGCAAATTTAGTCGAATAATTGAAAACATGGATGATATAAGAAATATGAAACAAATAAAATAAAATACATACAAAGCAGAACACAGCTAAATGAATCAAAAGTATGTCTATGTAATATTAGAGTTTTCTGAGAGAATTAATTTTTTTTTTCATTTTTTTCCAGTAAGAGGTTTTATTTAATAGAATATTTGGACAAAAAATCGCAATATATCGCCTTGCTTAGAGTATCGCAATATATCGGGATATATCGTTTCGTGACCCCTCTGTTATGATATGTATCGTATCGCCAAATTCTTGCCAATACACAGCCCTACTATGTGCATTAGCATGCTATTGTTATTGTTATAGCAGATTCCGCTGCTTATATTGATCGACTAAAAAAACATCCCATTTTCACCATCGCTGAACGTAGTAAACACCTCTTCAGTGACGTGCACAGTTAGATTTAACACCGTTAGTTAATATGGAGATGTTATGCTGATGGAGACTTAACATGGTTCTGTTGTGAAAAGCCTGGGGGAAGTAGTTTGTAGTGGAAATGGAAATGACTGGTGTGCAAGGTGAGTCGTGCTGCTAACCTTTAATAAATAACATAAAACAAAAAACCCGATCATAATCTTTTCTTAACGCTCCTCCTTCACGACCGGACCAAAATGCGTGACTACTGTCTCAAACCACCAGTCAGAGAAAAGACACAGAGAGGAGGGAAATAGAAAAAAGTTAATAAGCAGTGTTTGTACATTTTATTATCAGCTGGTCTGTGATGAAAAGAAAAATACCGTAATATACCGTCAAACCAGTGTAAACGTTGAAAATACTGCGATACAAAATTTGGGTCATACCGCCCAGCACTAGAAGAAATTGTAGCGTTTTAAAACACGTATAGAGAGAATAAATCTTCAAAATTTCCTTCTCCAGCTGTAGAAAAGTTGTGTCGTGTACCAGGATCATTTCCTCCCCTCCCGCTGCACGTTGAGCAGAGCGAAGCTTTAACAACCGTAGTTTTTCACAACCAATTGTCGGAGGAAAAAAAAGTTATTTTTTATGTATTGTTACCCGCAGAGGTTATTAAAAAAATTAATGAAAAAAGACGTGGACGTTCGTTCAGTCGTAAATCCATCTTGCTAATGTAAAGTCAACTTCTGCTCTGATGATGAAGATGATAAAGATGAGCGCACAGAGAGCAGCAGCTGCTAAGTTCAGCAGGCAGAAGCTCATTGTATGGCAGGCAGATATCAAAGCAAAAATGCTGGGTTTGATTAAGATTACAGTTTTCTGAAAAAACAAATGCTCTAAAAATTACATTATCTTAACTTTTTATGATAATTTTCTACCGCGATATATACCGTTACCGTGAAGGGGTTCAATTTAGACCGTGATTTGAATTTGAGGTCACACCGCCCAGCCCTACATTATAGCAGATGGGACTGCAACAGAATCGATTCAAATCAACACTAACATAATATTAAACTTACAGAAGCAGGGGACATCCCCCAATCCTTTAAAGACTCTGTCCCGCTATCTTCCTTTCTGCTTTTATCCAGTAGTTTCTTATTAGCTGGCTCCTCTGCATCCAGGATATCCAAGGCCTGCTGGAACTCTTTGGCAGCATACTATAAAAAAATAAATAGAAAGAATTAACAATGTCAGTTACAGATTTTTTTTTAAAGATGACCTGCAGTTATAGACATATGGAAAGGCCCGGTCACACTAAATATAAATATAAATATAATAAATTGTTAATGTAGGTTCTATATCTATCCAGGAACATCAAGTGAGATCTGTGTTCAGGTCTGTGAATGTGAAGGAATGTCATTTCTGGCAGCGTACTGAAGGTTTGTGCCTCTGAGCCCTCAGGGGCCTTTACAAACGGCCTCGGCACCACCCTGCCTCAAGTCTGCAACTACAGTCATATGAAAAGGTTTGGGCAACCTTGTTAATTTTCCTGATTTATCTTTATAAATCATTGATTCTTTGGATAAAAAAAATCTGTTAAATATATCATGTAGTGGACAACAGAAAGTGTGCAATAATTGGTTAAACWAAATTAGGCAGGTGCATAAATTTGACCACCGTTGCCGTTTCATTGATTTCAAAACCTTTAGAACTAATTATTGGAACTCAAATTTGGCTTGGTAAGTTCAGTGACCCTTGACCTCCATACACAGGTGACTCAAGTATGAGAAAGGGTATTTAAGGGAGGCAATAGTAGAGTTTTCTCCTCTTTGCATCTGCTCTAAAGAGTCACAGCATGGGAGTCTCAAAAAACTTTAAAATGAGCTGAAATCAAAGATTGTTCACAGTCATGGTTTAGAGGAAGGATACAGAAAGATATCTCAGAGATTTCAGCTTTCAGTCTCCACTGTGARAAACATTGTGAGAAAATGGAGGACCACAGGCACAGTTCAAGTCAAGGATCGAAGTGGCAGAACAAGAAAAACCTGTAATAAACAGAAGCGAAGGATGTTGAGAACAGTCAGAGTCAACCCACAGACCAGCATCAAAGACCTACAACATCATCTTGCTGCTGATGGAGTCACTGTGCATCGTTCAACTATTCAGCACTTTACACATGGAGATGCTGTATGGGAGAGTGATGCAGAGGAAGCCTTGTCTCCACCCACATCACAAACAGAGCTGCTTGAGGTATGCTAAAGCACATTTGGACAAGCCAGCTTCATTTTGGAATAAGGTGCTGTGGACTGATGAAACTAAAATAGAGTTATTTGGGCAGAACAAGTGCCGTTATGCATGGAGGAAAAAGAACACAGCACTCCAAGAAAAACACCTACAGTGAAATTTGGTGGTGGTTCCATCATGCTGTCGGGCTGTGTGGCCAGGACAGGGACTGGGAATCTTGTTAAAGTTGAGGGATGCATGGATTCCAATCAATATCAGCAGATTCTGGAGACTAATGTCCAGGAATCAGTGACAAAGCTGAAGCTGCTGAAGCCGGGTCTGCATCTTCCAACAAGACAACCACCCTAAACACTGCTCAGAATCTACTAAGGCATTCATGCAGAGGAACAAGTACAACATTCTGGAATGGCCATCTCTGTCCCCAGACCTGAATATTATTGAAAATCTGTAGTGTCACTTAAAGAGAGCTGTCCATGCTCGGAAACCATCAAATCTGAATGAAGTAGAGATGTTTTGTAAAGAAGAGTGGTCTAAAATACCTTCAGCCACAATCCAGACTCTCATTAGAAGCTACAGGAAGTGTTTAGAGGCTGTTATTTCTGTGAAAGGAGGAGCTACTAAATATTGAGTTAAGGTTTTTTAAGGTGCCCAAATTTATGCACCTGCCTAATTTTGTTTAACCAATTATTGCACACTTCCTGTAAATCATATAAACTTCATTTCACTTCTCAAATATCACTGTGTTTGTCCTCTATATTATATATTTAACTGATTTTTTTATCCAAACAATCAATGATTTATAAAGGTAAATGAGGAAAATTAACAAGGCTGCCCAAACTTTTTCATATGACTGTATAGTCCCAAAAAGCTCATCACCAACTGCCTCAATGACTACAGGCCCAAAGCACCATTGGTCACCAGGTGCTTTGAGAGGCTGGTGTCACAGCACATCGAGGACTACCCCCTTCCTTCCATCCTCATCAACACAGATAAAGAGCTAACAGATCCGCTGCTGATGTCATCTCCACTGCCCTCCACGCCACTCTGACAAACCAAGAACTCCCAAGATTAAATTTTGCTGTACAGACTTGTGACAGTGGAGTCTACTCTAAAGTGTTATGAACAATATACGTTCAAAAGAGGCTTCTTGTTTATTTTTTTATTCTACCATCCATGTAGACATCTTCAAGTGTTGAACAACATTTTCAGAAGTTGGCACAAGTTGTCTAAAAACGTTCAGTGTAACAGGGCCTTGAGAGTTTTTATATTTAGTATAACTTACGTGGCACCTAGCAGCAAGATACTGACAAGCTCCATACAACTGTGTGTGGGGGGAAAAAAAAGAGTTTTGTTAGGGATAAGAGATGAACATAAACACATTATTTTTGTGACTAAGTCAGTTCAGATTTAAAACAATTGTTTAACACAGTTTTGATACATTGCCTTTAATGTTTAAACTTTAATCTCATCACTCAGCTACAAGCAGTGTCTCATGTTGATCCACATGATACTCACTTTGTCAAGCTTCCGTGAACGCAGGGCGTGTGAGGCTCTGTGGTACTGTGAGGTGAGATAAAGGCACTGAGAAAGCCAGTAGATATCTTGGGGATCTTCTATAAGCCAAACAAAAAGACAAGGTTATGAAATCACATGGCACAAAGTCTTTGATGACTTTGCTACTGTTACAAAACAACTTTGTTATGGGCTATACTAGCTTCATTTTACTTTTACTATTCTAAATAATGACAGAACATTTAAAATGTTTCCCATAAAAATATGTATGGTCCTGTAATGCAAAACTAAAGCTGTTTTCACACATAACACAAGTGTTTCCAAATGCAAGTGAAACCAGGGGATTTTCTGCTGAAGGTGTAATATCACAAAGTCGAGGTGATGCTTGAATGTGCACATTGTCGCTGATATGAAACCGCACTGCAACATTTTGAGACTGCAGTGCATGTATAAAAGCTACAGAACAAAAAATAAATAAAATAAAACTAGAGTTAAGGACACTTTGCAAATGAGATCACACTGAATTTGTGATTATGTTGCCAGGAACATGTTAAACACTAGGGGTGTAAGAAAATATCGATACACTGAAATATCGCGATATTTCATTTCCCGATACTGTATCGATATTCTAAAGCCCTGTAT